TAGCTTTAAAAATTTGAATATCTTGATTGCAATATTCATTTTTATCAGTTTTGAGATTTAATTTATAAAAGAAATTCTATAAAAGGGCATTTGTTAATTTTTATTAATAAAAAGGTTAGTTCATAGTAATGTGCGACCTACGCTATATATGATAAATATTTGTTTTGCAGTTATTCTTGTATTTCACATATTTCACATTCATCATCCGTTCTTTGACTTTTTTTAGCAAGTGAAAGGACAAGGTAAAAATAAAAAAACTAAATTTTGAGAATGATAATCGCATAATCGCTGTTTGTATAATCCAAGCCACATCACTTGGGATCACTTGGATTTTTGTAACTCGATTTATACTTTATTAAGACAAAATGCGATTTTTTTTTCCATATGAACATTCTGCTTTATATAAGCTTTAGCATAAGTTTTATAGTTCTTTTATCACGAAACATGCAAATATTTATTTTTTTTTAGCATTAAAAGTTTACGAGTATTTCGCAAGACAGTAAATTGTTATAAAAATATACTTTTTTTCTATATAATTATATTGTTTTATACAAGACTTTAAAATAAATCTTATAATATATAGGTCACGAAACTCATAGCACTTTTAGATTATCTATGCTTATATTGTGATTTTATTTTGCTTTAGATTTATTATTATTTCTATTAAAATATTTAGTATTATTTTCAAAAATAATATACTTTAAGTAATGATATAAGATGGCATATCATTTATTATCTTCTTTATGTATTTTCAACTGTTTCTTAGACTTTATATTTGCATTTTTACTATATATAGAATTAGAAGAATTTATAATCATCAGGATTGTGTAACTCATCTATTTAAAGGTCCAAAACTTTGAATCTTGTTAACTTTGTATTGATTTAATTATTAATTTATTGTTATTGCAAATTTATTTATTGATTAAACATTTAATATTACAGATTTAGATTCACTTGTGAATAGGGATGGCAACGGTCGGTCATGGTCAGTTATCGGTCAGTCATAACCGGTTAAGGGCCTTTGACCGACCGACCGTTTTGGCTGACCGTTTTTCTGACTGTTTAACCGACCGTTTAACCGACCGTTTAACTGATCACTTTTTAACGTTTTTTTCTTGATTACAGCAAATTTCAAAATATACGAGACACTTGAGAAATTTGATTGTCAGGTTATCGGGTAGCCAGGTTACTCAGCAGTAGGTTGTTTATTAGAAAAGTATAAATAACACGTGATGAGTATAATGAATAGTAGTATATCAGATTATATAATAACCTACTGCTGAGTAACCCGACTACCTAACAATCCGACAATCAAATTTCTCAAGTGTCCCGTATATTTTGAAATTTGCTGTAAATTCGTAAAAAAAGTGTTAAGTGAATAAATATGGCTAAAATAATTGGTTAAATGGTCGGTTAAACGGTCGGTCAAACGGTCAGTCAAACCGGTCGGTTAAACAGTCGGTCAGAAGCCTTTGACTGACCAATATCGGTCACGGTCATAACCGGTCATGACCGGTTAATAACCGTGACCGTTGCCATCCCTATCCAGAATACCAGAACGTTATAAACTAAAATGTCTCTGACTCGCGATGTATCATCATCGGTAGGTGTATGACCAGTTATTACATTTTTAACCAAATTTTTATTTGACTTCTTTTTTTGCTTCGAAGACTTTGTCAAATCCACACTAATATTTTCTTGTTGTATTACATGTTGCGGCTGTGTAATATCAACTATTAATGGCGTGGCTGTGTTCAAATTATAATCCAAAAGTAAACAATCGACATTAGGTTGTGTACCAGATGATTCCGCGATCTACCGATCTTGATCATTATTTGACTTATTGATCAGCCGATTTATATTGAAATCTCGATCATCATCCATTAGATTATCATCATCAGCTTCTAAATTCGGTTGAAAAGGTATTGCATCATAATTAAGGTTGCTTGCCGAAACCTAGGGGTTTAGACAAGATGGCGTTTCGCCGAAAAGTGAAATTCTGCTAAAACTACAGTCAGATCTCTATATAATCACACCCCATATAGTCACATCATATAAAATTTCTCTATATAATCACACCTTTGGGAAATACCAATATATATAATTACTATATAAAAAACCTTTATATAATCACATCATAGTAAAAGCCTCTATATAGTCACTAATTTTTGCAGAACTGATTAGGTGACTATATAGAGATCTGACTGTATATTAAAGTTATATTAAAAAACTGGCGAAACTTTGGAGAAAGGCGAAACTGCCAAAACTTATTATAAATGCCGAAACTGCTGAAATTCTGCTTAAACTATAATAAATTTATAGTAAAATTTTGACGAAACTAATCGTAGGATTTTGAAGAGGTTTAGACAAGCAACCTTAATCATAATCTAACTCTTCAGAGTCAGAATTATTTGAGGAATTGAGTTGGGTTTTTGAAATCTTTTTTTTCGATTTTTTTGATTTCTTTGATTTTTTGGACTTCTTGTAACTTTTAGGTAAAAATTCCAGTTGTTTTTCCAGTTCCTCCCGCTTTTTAATTTGTTGTTGTAATAGTATAGATAAACTTTCGTCGTTTTCCACCTTCTTGGCTTTTACTGCGGTGAAGCCTTCTGAAGTGGAATACATAGCAACATGCAGGAAAAATGCAAAACTTTCTGGAGTTATTTGATAACGAGAAGCCCTTCCCTCCCAACTGTTAATATCTTTATCATTTAGGCCAAAATTATGCCATATTATATTACGTTAAACTTCTGTATTTTGTCTATTAAAAAATGAAGAACATAGACTTTCACAATATTGTATATAATTTTGATATGTGTATACTAAAAATGGTTCTTGTTCATATTCTTTAGTCAAAAAATTATTTTCAGCTATTTTAATAATAGTTCTAACGCTTTTCATAATAAAAAAACAAAAGTAAAAATTATTCATTTTTATTGCGGAATTGTTATGTTTTAAATATTTTGGGGAAAGAGTTTTTTTCAATTGATGATTAAATTATTATTATTTTTTTTTTTTTTTTTTTTTTTTTTNTTTTTTTTTTTTTTTTTTTTTTTTTTTTTGGTAGGCAAAAGGCGCAAAGCGCATATTTATTTATTAAAGAGAACCTAGTACAGAGTGCCAATTTACAGATAAAGGGTCTATAGTAAAACTATCTAATAACAAATCTTGTAAAAAACCTTAGTAAAGAATTAAACTCGTAAAACCTTACCAACAGCAACCAAAGTTAAAGTAAAACAAAACAAAAAGCACTAAACTCCATTAAGACATTAATGGAAACAACAAGAAATGGTTGCATTAATTTATCTTACCCACCTGGTTCACAACTACTGTAAAATCCAGGATTTCTTTACCAAACAAAATATACTCTTTAACACCCTCCAAGCCTTCATATCTTCTATACATGTTTTCAGGGTATTGTAAAATTTCTTCTTGCTTCTCTCTACAAAAATTAGAATCAGTTCTTTTCTTATCTTTTTTGTTAATCCCATAATTCTTTTCTATTATTTTCAATTTTTCGCAACGAGGTAACCAAATATGTTTCTTTGTTTCATCCATAATATATTGTAAAATCTTCGTTCCCAATTCTATTATCTTCAAATTGTTATTTATTCCCAAGATACTTCCAATAAAGTTATACAATTGAATCGGGAAAACGCCTTTAATTAAATCTACAAAATTAAACTTATTATCCCTAAATTTTGGAAAAAAGATATCAAGTTTTTTAATATTTGTTAGTATTTGCACTTCATCAAAAGTAGCCCATATTCCTTTAATAAAGTAACCATAGTATCTATTGTTTGTCCTATTATCTGCTTTAAAATTTTTCTATTGTAACTACATGTCCACACATGATAGATTAAAGGTTTCTTTTTTCTTGTGACAAAATACACATCTAAAGTTCCGGTAAATATCATACGAAGATTTCTTCATTTGTTCAATTGTTGGAATTTCTTCTATCAAACGTTGTATCTTCATTCTTTTTTGTTTACATATAAAATTATCAGTTTTAAAAGTTGTATCACCCTCTATTTGGAATCCAATATATGCAAAAACAATTTCCCATTTAACATCTAATATTCTATATCTCCAATTTCTATTCAGATTAAAAAATTTTTCCAATCCTTATATTCTAGTCAGAAGTCTAATAAACCGTCTTAAATTCATCTCTACCACGTAATTATTCCATAAGACTGGGAATTTATAGTGTTCTGTATTGTATTTAACTAAAGTGTTAGATAGTTTATCTTCTATTTCGTAGCAATCTTTAATTTCTTTATCCATTGTGTTATGTAATTTATTATCTGAGTGAGACTCTACTTTAATTACATCTATCTGTTGTGATAATTCATCTAAAATTTCTTTTATATTAAACCATATGGCATTATTTTTGTCAAATTTTAATAGATCCTTTGTAGTTATTGTCTCCCATCTATTAGTTAGATACCTATAGTTTTTAATTACATTTTGACTGTCTGTATATATTTTATAGTTCTTATCATCCTGTATCATTAATAGTGCAGTAAAGAAAGCCATAGTCTCTGCTTTTGTTGAAGTCAACCAATGTTCTACTGTCAAAAAGTATTTATCTATGAGATTATCATTTTCGTCATATATCATAACCCCAAAAATTGACTTAATATATTCTGTCTTGTTTCTCTTAACTGATCCATCTATATATATAGATATATTCTTTGAATTATTTAACGCTATCCTATCCTTAATGCAATATTGTATCTACTTCTTTTTTCCAGATTTTTGTTGACATTATCTGTTTTATCTCATCTATCATCATATAGAATCAGGTCTTTATTATCTAGTCTTTGTTGTATAATATTATATCTAAATGCACTATCGTATCTAAGTATCTCATCATAGAAATTAACACTGACCCCTTCATAATAATAAGTACAATTTTGTAATCTTTTTGAATGATGTTGTTTATTCCATCTATATGGTGATAATAAAAATACCCTTTCTATATGTTCCACGATTAAACAATTACTTTTAATTTCTCCTTTGAATACATCTGCATTAATTATCCCTAACTCACAACCTTTACACTTCCTTAGGATTATATTTTTTTCATAATCATCTGTCAAGTTTTCAAAATGATTAAAAAATACTACATTATTATCCCTATCTATTTTAATAATTCTTCCAAAGATTGTTCAATTTTGTGAAACTCCTCTAGTCATTTTTGAAACAACTGTTGCTCCTTTTTCTGGTAAAACTGTGGTCGGCAATAGAATCGTCCCTTTTAAATTATAAACTTCGTCTACAAATAAAATTTGTTCAACAATATTTGGTTTAATTCTGTAACTTATCCTAGAGACTGCTAAATCTGCCAATATATTCTCATAAAGTTTTCCATTCTTTTTTGACATTCTTTTTGTATTTAAAAGTTTAACAAATCTCTTCATTTCTAACTCTTCAATTGATAGTAAATATTTTTTATCCAGGGTAGTGATTTGATCCACAAAGATTAAATTATTATCTTGTAATGTCTTAAAATTCTTAATGTATACTCCATTTGATACAACGTCTCTAATCAATGTTGGTCCACCTTCTACATTAAATTTAATCATAATATTATCATTTCTTGCAAATTTAAAATTATTTTCTATTAAAAGTTTTATGTTGTTTAAGATAAAATGGAATTTAAATCCAATATTTTTAATCTGCTTAATTTTATGAATTAACTTTTCATCAATAACATATATCGGATGGTTTTCTAAAAGCAATTGTTGTTGTATGTTGATAAATCTAACTTCCATTATTTTTCCCAGAATATCTGTATCATTAACCTGTAAAACAAAGTTTGTAATTTTGGCTTATTTTTGATTGGCAACTAAGTTATTCAAATTATAAATAAAATGAGTTTCTAAAATCGCGTTAGGTGCAGTTTTCGCAAATTTCAACCTATTTTTAATAAATGATCTGAAAGGAGCCATTAATCTTTCTAATATTCGTTCTTCTATGACATATAGTTGACTTCTATATTCAACTATTGGAATAATTAGCATATTGAAAAAATAAATCATCATCTTATCAGTAATCCCTTTTCTACAAGATATATTCTTTATTATTGCTTTGATTTCGTTCCTGATTTGTTGTTCTACATGTCTATTATCATTAAAGGCATTTATCCAAACTCCTAAAAATCGTGATGATTGGTTGCAAGCTGTTGGCTTACTAACTTCTATTTCATCCTCTCCAAATTTAATTTTAACTACACTTTCTAAAGGCTTCTTTTTACTAACATTTTTCCTAAGGAGTAATTCTGATTTTTGCTTATTAATTTTTATGTCATTTAATCTATAGAAAGAATCAGCTATTTTTAAAATTCGTTCTAAATTTAATTTGTTGTTTGTGATAAATCCCGTATCATCCATATAAGCACATTCTGGAAATGTAACTAATCTAGAGCGATACACATTTTCGTATACATCCAAATATTCTTTTGCTTCCATTCGAAATCCAAGATTTGTATTTCTTATTCTTGCTAGTAAGGGGTCGTAATATATTATCCAAAGCAATGGTGATATTATTTCACCTTGATCAATCCCTGTTAACATATCAAAAGGCTCGGTCAATCCTGTTGGAGTAAAGACTTGATTCGTCCTATTTGTGAACAATCCTGTCAGAATTTGTGTTATTCTCTTTGGCATTTTTATTCTTTCGAGCGCCTTTCTTAGCATTGGTATATTAATTCTATCGTAAGCCTTAGACATATCCAACATAAGAAACCACATTTTTTTTTTATTTTGTTCTGCATAGTTGATAATTTCATTAACTATCCTTAAAGGTTCAAAAGTTGATTTCTTTGGGAGTCCTGCAAATTGGTATCCTTTTAAAATATCGTTAGTGGTAAAAATTTTAGAAAGTCTATTTGTTAGTATTTTAACAAAAAATTTCCTTGCAGTTTCTAAAAGTGTAATTGGTCGTGTATTGTTCAAGTCGTATTGCCATGGCTTGGGTTTTGGTATCGGATATATATGAGCACGAAGTCAATCTTTTGGTAATGTTCCTGTTTCTAATATTTCGTTAAATATTTCTTGAAGGATTTCTTTTAAGGGTATCAGAGTAAGCTTTATATCTTCATAAGAAATTCCTGTTGGACCATTTGCTTTTTTTCCTGGTAACATTTTTCCTATCTCAATTATTTCTTCCAAAGTTATAGGAGCTAAAACACTATCATATGTTGATTCAGATAATTCTTCTTTTGGCCTATATTCATCAATCCATTCAGCTGGAATTTCTTTTTCGCAATTTATAGATCCTGCACAATTCTGGAAATGATTTGCCACTAACTTTTTAATTTCTCCTTCATTCGTTACTAAAATATCTTCTCCATCTTTATCTTGCACTATTAACCTATCTATATTAATTTTTTTGAATTCCCTTTCCATAACATTATCGATCATATGTCTTTGATTGTATTCTAAATCCTGTTGTCGCTTAGCTATTGCTTCCATAATCTTTTGTTCTTTCCTCTTTATCATCTCAGTATTCAAAAATATATATGCTATAGAATATAGTTCTTTCATTTCCTTCAAATATGTATACTTAAGAATTTTTCTAAAGTTATAACTTAACACATAAAATTCATTATTAATTTCTAAGGCTTTAATCATAGAGCGTAAATTTTTGATTATAATTTTCCAATTGTCTTTAATCATTGCAAATTTTTTATCTTTTTTTAGACTCCTTCTAATGTAAACTATATATCTATAAAATCTATATTCCAATGTATTTTTGATATCTTGATCTTCTTTTTCAAAAGATATTTTAATTTCGCTATGTTTTATATGGCTTTTCTTTGTTATAGAAATCACATGGTTATAAATATTCCATTTCTCTTCTATATTACTAGGTTTATAATTTTTTAACCTATTTTCTAATTCCTTAGCAGCTGTGTCAGTGATCATCTGTTTATCATCATCGTTTAATTCCTCATAGTAATATTTTATTCTATAAGATCTTTTTATTTTGGTTGGTAGTGATGGTTGTGAAATTATAATTCTTCTGTTTAATCTAACATATATTAGCTTATGGTCAGTATCCATCCTATTATATTCTACTATATTTGTTTTTATTACTGCATTATAAAGATTATTTGTCATCCATATATAATCAATACGAGAGAATGTGGCATAATTGCTAAATGTGCTAAAGCGTTCCATTAGTTGCTGATCATCTATTTCTAAGGAATCTTTATGTACATCTATAAAATCATGGTTTTCCAGATATTTAAAAATACTAAGTTGATTGTCTATTCTAACGCCTCTATTTTTTAATTTTTCATATTTAGCATATCTAAGGTTGAAATCTCCTAATAGCATTGTCTGATATTGATTCCTTCGTGTATCTTTAATCATATTTATCACTAATTGATTAATAGTTTGTTGTAAATTCCTTGCCTCAGTTGAATTACCACTTTTATTGTATATTGATATTATTGATAATTTGTTGTGTTTGCTAAAATTAAGATTTATTTCTAATATTCTTCCCATATGATTTTGAACTTTGGTTACGTGATTTGCTATATTATTTTTAATAAAGACTAAGAGTCCTGTACTATTAATATTGGTATTATCTATTGTTCCAAACATCGTATAATTTTTGTTAATTCCAACTTCTTGCATTAAAAATTTTCCATATTTAATATTAATTTTTGTTTCAGTAACCGCTAAAACATCAAAATTATATTTCGTTAACACATCTTTAATATTCATCATTTTTAATTTTGTCATTCCTCTAATATTAAGAGTTCCCATATTGAAAAACGCTTTTGTATTATTTACTACATTTGTTTGATTAATGTTATCTTCTAATTCCTCATTCAAAATATTATCATTATTATTATTATTAATAGTATTATTATTTTTATTGTTCTTTTTTCTTTTAATTCTTTTTTTGTAATTACGTAAATGAACAGGATCGTCACTTTTTCTTTTTTCATTATTGCTAGTTAGGGGGGAGTTATATATATTCAATTGATTTGAAATATTAGTATTTTGGTTGTCTATCATAATTAAATGTTGTTGTTTGTTGAAATTGAAGCATTGTTATCCCCCTTAATAACAGTGCTTTTTTGTTTTTTATTTGTGTTATTTTCTTGATTATCATATATTTGTTCAAATTTAGTACTCATATTTTGTAACATGTCCATCATTTTTTTCATTGTATCATCAGCTTGGTTCATTCGATTTGAAAGAATATAAACATTATTAGCAGCGTTACTTTCTGAACTGCTGCTTTCTTCATTTCTAGTACGTTTGTTATTACTATTAAAAACTACTCCTCCTCTTTTTTTACTTTGATTTTGATTTGTATTTTTTGTTGTATCTTTAAGATTTGGGTTACTATGAACCTTAATCAAATTAAGCTCATTTCTCATCGCCGCTTGTTCTTTATACATACAATCCATCATATCTTTAATTTTTCCAAAGTCATTTTTAATATCCTGTAAGTTATTGTTAGTCTGTCTATGATACCATTCTTCTTTTTCTTTATCTTTCATATGTATTGAACCTCCTTTCTGAGTACCATGCAAAACATCACGTGATCTTACATTTGGCCGCGTTTTAGGTAGTTCATCCCATTCATGCATTCCTACTTCATTCATAATAAAATCTTTTTCATCATCAAAAGAATTTCTATTATCATCATCACCTCCATATAAATCATGATTTATATTGTTTCTATTCCAAGATCTATCTACATACCTACCATTCTGATTACCATCTCGCGCATTATCAGCATAATAATCTCTTTTTCTAAATTTTCTATTACCCTGTGCTACCATATGAGCATATGTAGCAGGGTTACTATAATTGTTTGCTCTATTTCTTGTAAAACGATTTTGACGAATCTCTTTAATCTGTCTAAAATATTCATTCTTTCTCATTGGTCTTGTACGAGGGGGCATATAATCACAGTCTCTTATATAATGGCCTGTATATCCACATCTAAAACATGACTGCACACTGGGATCTGACCATTCAGTCTGTTTGTTTCTTACTAAAAAAATTTTTTGAGTAGCAGCAACCATCGCTACTTCGTCTTTAAAATATACATAAGTATACTTTTGTGTATCATTAGTATATGTATTCCGAGGAATATAAAATTCTACAACGCTATGATGATCTATAAATTTTTTAAATTCTACAGCCTGTGCATTAGGGGGGAGTCCATTTAACTTCATACAAAATTGCTTAAGTCCTTCTTTAATATTTTTATCCATTAAAAATGGAGTAACATATAACATTTCGCCATAGACCCAAAGCACGTGATTATCATAAAATCGATGAACACTATTAGCATCTTTGAAGGTAATATAAACTACTTGGCGATTTGGTGCATATGCATGAGGCCTTCAAGAATAACATTTCTCTTCTTCTAATTCACTATATTTACGCATAAAGGGTTTAATTATAGTAGTAGTCAAACGAAGTGATGCATTAAATACTTGTATGACCTTATCTTGCGAATTTCCATTATTTTGTTTTTGTCGTATACGATTTGTTATAATCTCTTCAAAAAAATAATCTATACCATCACATCGATAAGGAGTTTCTTGTAAATCTTTCCATGTTTGTTGAGAGATTAATGTTGCTTGTAAAGAAATTCCTGTAATAATCTTATTAACTTTTTTTTGGCTATCATTCATTTGTGTAACTGTTCCTTCTGGAACTTTTTAAGTTATAATTTGAACTTGAAGACTAATAATATCGAGGGGTGAGGGGGGCCAACTTATTTGTTGTGTAACCAATGTATCACCATCATAACTGTCCACCCCTGAATTTTATACCGATTTTTTTTTTGTTATATAATTATAATATCAAAAAAATATTCCAAGCCTACAACTTGTAATATACAACGTTTCTAAAAGCCGATGTTTGAGTATAGATTAGCACACTTGAGAACTGTTTAATACCAAAGTTTCATAATCTTTGGTGCATTATTGGCTTTCTGGTTAGTTCAAATATGGTTAATTAAGGGTTTTTGTGTAATTAATTTTTTTTTCTCGGTTAGAAAATTAATAAAACAAACAAATTTTTTTAGTTGTAATAATTTTTTTTATTATATTTATTCGATATATTGTTTACATTTTCACTATTCTATAGAAATAGTTTTTTTTTAAGTGCTTCATCAGTAAAAGATGTCCAGTTTTTTAAATTGGAAATAATTATAGGTACCAATTTTTGTTTTTTTTTATATGGCGTTGAAATTCCGAATGCCCATATTAACCACAATAATTCTGATACTAAAAACATCTTGGTGAATGAATCTTTTGCTTCTTTAAGCTGCACCCATAGCCTAAGTTGTTCCAAAGCGTGAATAGGATTAGAAGGTAAATTACCCTTCTTCATGAGAGAAGGTTTTTTATTTTCTGTTGTAGAATAACTTGAACGCATTGTTTTCAAGTTTTCTCTTAAACTTGCAGTACCTTTTTCTGGAATATAATTGTTAACTTCTCTTCACGTTTTTTGATGACTTCTCATGTAGATTTAGATACATCGTTCATAAATAAACCCAAGTTCATCATTTTCCAATTCGACATTATTATCCATTGATGATTTCAAAATTGTTACAAACATTTGGTTCAGAGGTGAATTAGAAAGGAGACTATTCGTCACATAGCGTAAAATGTTTGGTCCCAATTCATTACTTTTTTTAAACATTTCGATTACTAAAGATTCTAAATAATACATAAAACGAATGAATTCAGGTCCAGGTATAATGTTGGTGGTCTGTGATTTTGTTTCTGTCACATATTCAACCTTTTCTGTACAGAGAGCTTCAAGTAAAGTGTGCATAATTGAAAACTTTGGATGGGAATTCATTAAATGGTCTCTTTTAAGTAATTTAAATAGTCAGTACCCAGCCAATAATATATGAAAATTTTAATGATTCCGCTTGATTTAAGGTAATGATATCCCTAGGAGTTAATGTGGAATCTGCACATTCTTCTATATTTCCATTTTCGTGATCATTACCTTTAAATGTCTCGTCTATCACTTTGCGAACAAGAAAATAAGCAACTAATCTTTATGTTGTTGTAGTAGAATGATTTTGTACAATAACCTCTTGAAATTCCAAAAACCAAATGCCGGAACACAAATAATTATTCAAACTAACTTCCAGTTGAGTAATCCATGTAGGTGACCAAAGTTTTCCCTTTTTTTTAGGAATTAATTTTAAAACAATATTTTTAATATTATCGTTCCATTTTTCTAATAAAGAAAAAATTCTATTATTATAGAGACATGAATTAAAGAACTGCTGGCGCTCTTTTTGGAAAAATGAGACCTTTTGATTTAATTGATTAATATCTTCACTGAAAGATAATGTCTGAATTTCAATTCTTCCCATAAACAGATCATCTAAAAGAAGAGCTTTAAAAATTTTTTGTACAAAAGGTGGCATATTGGATAATTGTGTAGTACTACTTAATAAAGTAGAATGCATACTATTATTCCTGTCTCTTATACACATCTAGATGTGTATAAGAGATTTAAAAACAACTTACTATCTAGTAAGATAATCAAATTCCATTCCAGTTTGATTTGCTTTTCCGTAGTTAACACTTTGTAATTCAGAAGTCATTCTTGCAGTTACCTGAAATTTATTTAATGCATGTCCGTATCCTTTTAATTTCTGTGTTGATGAATCACCTCCAAGCTGTCGAATTGTTCCAAATAGTCCTTTTAACATATCTTTTGATACTCGGCGTGGTTCAATAGTTGAATTTGGATGCAAGGTGAAAATCTCTTTTGTCATTCCTAAAAAACCTTGGATAGATAAAAGTAAATCAAACTGGCACTGTGATGAAATCCAATTTATTGCACTGATTTTTTGATGATCTCTAATTACAAACCAATCATAAATTTTTTTTAAGGTTTGGAGACGAGAATCTGCAAGACCTTTTAAGGGCTTTTTTCTATGAAATATTTGCCGGTATAGACATGAATAATGTACAAATTCCTATATTTAAATAAAGGTTAATATTAATTAAGATACTAGTAATGTTTATTTTATTTAATTACCCTTGTTCCTGTTGATATTTCTTTAAGTTCATCAATTAAATTCATTGCATTTTCAACATCCTTGGATAGAGTATGTTCAGCAAGATCAACTCGCATCTTGCTCCATGAAGTAAGCCAAATATGACGTTTGGTAAGTCGGCTAATTCTTGCTGTTGAATTTTGAGCAGTATACTCATAAACACCTTGGATATGACGCCAACTGACTTCTTTTCCATCTATCATAATTTCTCTAATATTTCGACCTTGACCTTCTCCAATGTGACTTTTTGAAAGATTATTTCAAAGTTTTTTGAAAACGTGTGTGGGATCACTAATAAAAAACCATGGTATACCAGTAATTGGATTTATTGTTTTATAATTTGTCCAATGTATTTGAGCATCATAAAGAGGTCGAACATTCATATCTTGAGATACAACTGCTACTTTCCATCCTTCTTTATTAGAAGAAATTGTAACGTTAAACATTTGTGCTTCAAGGTCAACATTTGTAATAATAGCTGTATGCCATTTATTATCTTTAGGACTTTTAAATTCACACAAATCATTAATATTCCAATTCTGTTTAATAGGCATTAGTTGCCTTAATGAGCTGCGATTAACTTGAAGTTCACTAGAAATGGATGAATCTAATAATTGTACTGTAAATTTGCTACGATCAAGACTTGTTGCTATAATTTTAGCACGTTCATAATTATTTTTTCCAATATCAACTTCAACAATATCCCCTAAAGACCATGAAAAAGCCCACCAGTCAAAACTTTTGATGTGATTCCTATTTTCTCCAGCACCATCACAAACAGATCCATAAGTATGAATGCCAATACATTCAAGATTTGCCGCAAGTTGAAAAAGTATTTTATTAATTTCGTGTGCATCAAGAGTATTAATTCCATAATATGCTATAGGGTATGCAAAGTTATAAGTAGCTGAATGCCAAATAATTTGATGCACTTGTGTTGCTAAATCTCGGTTATTATCTTTCAAATTAGGTAAGTTGCTTGTGTTTTCCCCTTGCAGCTCTTTTTCACATTGTATTATAAATGATTGTAATTCTTCTTTCTCATTTTCAAAATCCAAGTATCCAACATAACGATTATCCCGCTGACTCCAAAGTAAACCTATTAAATATTAAACAAGTAAATAAATTCTTTTTAAATATACAATTTGGTAGCAAAACTAACCTTTTTGAATTTTAAAAGAGTCGTGAGAAAAAAATCCAATTCGACCATGGTTACCAATATTTTCTACAGCCATCTTTTCTAGTATATGGTATGCAGTTTTAATCTGCCATCCTGAGCATTGTTGGCTTTCATTTATATAATTTTTTATTGTAGATACTGAAGGTAATCGCATAATACCTTTCATCGCTTCATAAGCAGTATTGCCTGCCCGACTATACACAGAAATAGCCCATCGCAAAAACCTAAAGAAATTAAAGTAATTTATTATTATATAATTTAATTAATTGTATTTTTTTACACTTACATTGGATGATATCTCACTCCATTTACTTTTCCACTTTGGATTCTAATTAGTTCTTGAAACATCGGATTAAAGGAAGAAAGATCAACTTTCTTTTCTCTAACATCACGAGCTACTTTTTTGGCTATTTGACCTAGCTCTTCTGATACTACTTCTTCCTCCTCTTCTACCTTTTGTTGAAGCTGAAGTTGTAAATTACGTATTTTTTGTTCCTGACTTGTAATTTTCTTTAAAATAAACAAATTAATATTAGTTTCTTATTTTTTTAAATTAACATATTTTATCATAATAATTACCTTTCTTTGAATTTGAATTTTTTTAGACAGAACTTCTTGAGAAGCATGAGCAGACTTGAAATGTAAAGTATCCATAAAATTTCGATTTTTGATTTTTATTAGCGTATCCTTCAATTTTTGACAATTTTTGCACACATTTGTTTCAGTTACTAACAAATGACAGTCTATTCTCCTATAGGCTTCTTGAGGTTGATTTTGGTTCTCCAGGATAGCAAATGGTTCGTGAATATTATTAGAATTTTTTTGATTCCTCACAAGATGAATTCCGCGAAGTTGAACCACTTTTTCGAATCCTAAAATATAAAAATCTTTTTTAAATTAATATGTAAATTAAAATTAAATTAATAATAATTAAATACCTTCAGTCTTTTGTCCTGTGCATATTTTCGTCATAGATATATAATGAATTATCCTACTTATCTCCGAAATGGTTCTTTCACTTGTAATTCCTGTTTCTATTCCATTTATTTCTTTGACACTTTTTTTCAAGACGTATAACTCATAAGAGATTAAGTTTTTTTGCCATTTAATAATTAAATACTTTTCTATTTTCTGTTCTTTTCCAAAAAATGTAACGCCAATCCCATTAATAATGTCTCTTATCCCTACACCAAAAAACTCTGTCTTTATTAATGATGTAACTTCTGCAATATTGATCGAATCACAATTTTTCCAATATGAACTTTGCTCTGTTCTTAACAACGAAGCTAAATTGGAACCAGAAGAGTTTGGTTCAAAAAAAATTGTAGCAAGTGCCGATCGTTCACCACTAAATATTTTTCTAACTTTAAGAAATTTTATCCAAGAACCAAAAGTACCAAATTTTTCGCCTGTTTTTTTATCAAAAACATAAAAAATCTTGTCTTGTTTGTCATAAATCAAGAGCCCCTCTCTATATTGCTTTTTTCTGTAAAAAAAATAAACTGGCTTTCCGTTAAATTTTGGCTGAAGACGGTACAAATCTTGAAGGGCTTCGAGATGCTTAGTTTTTTTGATACTTGAGAAATATTAACTTCACTTAATACACGTTTCTAAAAATATAAAAAAAGAATAAATCAATAAATATATTGGTAAAAAGGCTTAATTTGTACTTTTTTTACCATAATTACTGAATTAAAATCGCCGATGGAGTTTATTTTTTCTCAGAGAAGCGCGTCTGCAATTTAAAGTACTTGTATATGCTGAGGAGGATCTGATAGGTATCACGTTTTAAAGGATGGCATGTTGGCTTAGCTAATTTTTTTAATTGCAGGGGTTTATTGTAGGCGGATCAATGCATTTTTATAATAATGTATATGAATTTTATATGTAGGACAGTTTTGTTGATTAGGAATATTATTGTGTAACCTTAAGTTGGCCCCCCTCACCCCTCGATAATATCTTCTTGTTTAAGCATAGAATCTTCGAGAATACTATTTTGTACAATCTTCATAAACTTTTTATATTCATCAATATTATCAGAGCTGTTGATCGGCACTTTAAGTATGGCAATGATTTTATTATTTTCTAATTTATGAAATTGATTAGTGTCGTCATCTTGCTCATCTATAATCATTTCTATATCGGGTAAGATAACTTGCTGATTGTTTACAATTTGGTCATTTGATGTAATATTGTTATGATCGACAGATGTTTAACCAATAGCAGAACTAGATGTTTGTTTGTTAGATACATCATTATTTACGTCTAGATTTTGGTCTGTTGATTGGCCCGCTGTGTTTGTACTGACTTTTTTGGACGAAGAGACCAAGAATACTGGTGACGACGTATTTTGTAAAACTTGATTATTGGTATTAAAACTAACTTATTATTTCTTTTTACAAAGTTCACGTCTGCTAGAAGCCTCTTTAGGTTCTAGCGGTTCATTTATATTAGTTTGCAGAGGAGTAACAATATTGTCAGGTTCCTTTTTTTTTTGAAGAAACTACAGGGCCACCGTCATTTTTATCTTGGACCAAGTTTTTGGCCATTTCTGAACAAGTACGTTGTGAGAGAGGGGCGTTGGCGTCGCCATATTGTTCATATCAAAAGTAATTTCAACAAAGCCTGGGTACAAAGAGCTAAAATATGCCAGTTTTTTATAAACACTTTTCTTAAAAATTTTGGTAAATGACAGGAGCAGTTTTTTCAAATTCCCCTGATGATTAAATTATTATTAACACCATTATAATGTTTAAATGAAAAAACAAAAATAAATTTGGAATTCAATTTGCTGATCAGATTAGATTTGGTATGAAAATTTGTTGATCCTATTTTTGGTATTAGCAATTTGATTGGCCAATGTTAGTTTGTTATTATCAAAATATGGGCATGATTTGCACAATTTTTTTTCCGGAAGTATTATAGTACTTATTAATAGTACTAGACAGGACAGGACAAGACAAGACAGGACAGGACAGGACAGGACAGGACATGGACAGAACTCTTAAACCACAATTTTGTGATTTAGAGCTTCCTGTGGTACTTTTATGTCATATTAAGTTTAACCATCAAATTGTAGGTTTTTTGGTAGAATTTAATTTTGTTGATCATTTTTATTTACTGAATTTAAAAAAAAACATTTCAATCGCAAATTCACAATTCATTATAACAAAAAAAAAAAATTTTATTTTTTAATAATGTTGTGTTAACATGTAATAAGTGATTAATAAAAAAATATTTTGAAACATTTTTTAATTATTTTAACAAAAAAAATGTTGCAAAACCATTTTTTATTAATAAAAAAAACAGTTTCGCAACATTTTTTAATTGTTTTAATAAAAAACATTGTGAAACTGTTTCTTTAATAATAATTTTATAAAAAAATGCAAAAAACATCGCAAAAATGTTTTTTATTAGGTCCATCACTCCTTTCGTCTCCCATCACTCTTTTTCGTCTCCCATCACTCCTTTTCATCTCCCAACACTTCTTTTTGCCTCCCATCACTCCTCTTCATCTTTCCATCACTCTTTTTGCCTCCCATCATTCCTCTTCATTTTTCCATTACTCTTTTTCGTCTCCCATCATTCCTTTTCATCTCTCATCACTCCTCTTCATCTTTCCATCACTCTTTTTGTCTCCTATCATTCCTTTTCGTCTCCCATCATTCTTCTTCATCTTTCAATCACTCCTTTTCGTCTCCCATCACTGGTCATTTTTTTTTACAATAACTTCCACTTAAAGATCTTTCAAAATTATGTCAAGCTCCCTCATGAAAATGACCTCTTGTTATATTAAAAAATAACAATACTATAAATTAAAAATATAAATAATTATATAATTCCAAATTCTTGGATTAAAAAATTTTTTATTTTTAATATTTGCGATTTATTAGTAATTTCTTTTTTTTTTCTGTATTCGCGATTTTTAAGGTTTCTCATAACTTTTTTATATTTTTGAAGCGGATATAACTCTTCATGTTCTTTTTTAATTTTTATTGATTTTTCAATATATGGCAATTTGTTTTCTTTTGTCGTGTTATTCCACATATTTCCTATTATTTTCGACAATTCACGAGATGTAGTGTTGGGATATTTTAATTTTACAAGTTTAAATATTTCACTTTTAAATAAAATAAATGAATTAGGTGGTTTTTTTGTAAGTAATTCAAAATCATACAAAACATAAAGTGGTACATTTATGTTATTTATTCTTTTAATGGCTTTTTCAGAATTTTTGAATAACGATTTATTAATAAGAACAGGTATATAGTCATTTTGAATATAAAAAATATCCTTTGTATTATATAAATTAAATAAAGACATAATTTACAAAAAATTGAATCTTCGTTATATATAATGAAATTTTTTTGTAAATATAAATACATATATACAAATACATATCAATAAATTAATAATACGACTAATAATTTAATAAAAACAAAAAAAATAATTAATTTTTTTTGATCATAATAACATTAATCGTAATACTTATTATAATACAATTAAACAAATAATTTGTAATAAGAATACATTATTAAGTATAATTTAAGTAGAGACAATTATCGATTTACATTTTAGTATATATAATACATATTAATTAATTATAATACAACACAATAATTCAATGAAATGAAAGAAATTGAAATACTTTGAAAATATAATAGAAATATAACATAATTTTAGTATAAATTACTAAAATACAATTTAGCAACAACTACACATTACGGTGTAAAATTTATTATAAATACGATAATGATTTAAATTCTAGTAATTTAATAATAATACGATAAAATAATTCAATGAAATGAAAGAAATTAGTTTTTTTTTTTGAAAAAAAGATAAAATTTAAAATTAGTTAGTAATACTTATTAAATACGATTAAACAATTAATCAAGTGACAAAAATTAAACTTCAATACATAATAAAATAAAATTAAATACGATTATTTATTTAATTACAATAATACTGAAAAGTTTTATTTATTTTTTCAATACTGGCATTAAAATATATTTATGTATATATAGGTCACATAAATTTACAATGTTATCAAATAAAATGGCAACCCTTCCGAAATCTCCCCAGGAAAATCAGTTTACAGTTGCCGATATTCCAAAAGATAATATATTGGAAATTAAAGAAATAATAAAAAACCCAATATTTAATGAATATTATATCAAAATAAAAGAATTAATAACGGAATATAGAAAGGATACAATATATCACATATTAATTCCTTCTTTATTAGCCATTTCACATCACGCATTAATTAATGAAGGATTTTTAAATAATAAACATGAAATTAATTATAAAATTAAATTTAATGGTAAAACTAAAAGCTATAATTATATTATCGGCAACTCATCTAAGGAGAATAAAGTCAAACCCAAAGATAACTTTGCTTAAATTATTGGTTACGATATAACGAATCTTCCTGAGTTAGCTCGATTATTAGCCGTAGCAAATCACTTGACAGAAGATTCGGTTAATCAACACTTAGAATGGATGAAATTGAACACTTATACCTTTAAGTACAAAGAAAAAAATATGAATAGAATAGAATATACAGGTCAAATACAAAGCTTATTAGAAGACCTTACCTGGCAAAATGAATATATTAATGGATGGAATAAATTAGTTAGATATTTTTTATTGGGAATCATGATGTATGGATACTACCAAAATGATTTAAGTAAATCAATAAAAAAAAATAAAAAAGCAAAACAACAAAAATCAAATTTTTTGAACGAGCTAAATAAAGCAGTTTCTAAATGCACCAATAGTATAATGGAAGAAAGTAAAACTAGTACTACAATTAATTCTGCTTTAGAAATAATTAAAATGGATAATGAATCTGCTGATAGTAAACTAACAAAGGAAGAATTAATTAAAAAACTCAAGGGTCATTTAAAGTTTTCATATTACTTATTTTATTTTGTTAGAATGTTTGGATATGTATCATTGATAGCTTCAGTTTCTCCAGATCTGGCAGACAAACTACTAAAATCAATTAATCCAAAAAATTTAAACGAAATTAATAATTCTTTTAATGATTTAAAAGAAATTGATTTAGGAAAAGATCTAATCGCAAAAAATGCAGAATATGGAAATATAATTTGCAGAACAGTAATTGAATGCAGTCAAACTATGAAAATACATAACGATAAATTAAAAGAAGGCTTAGAGGAATTAATTGATCGTTATGCTTTTAATACTTATAGTAACATAATATTCGAAGAAATAAATATTAATAATGAGAATAACTACAGAAGCGAATTTAATGCAATATCAGACGACGACGATATAAGCATGGACGAGGACGAGAAAAATAAAATAATGGATAAATTAAATGAAGATATACAAGATTTAAAAAGAAAATCAAGCATTGGTTCAAAGAAAATTGATCGATGAGAAAGAAACTGGTTAGTAATAAACGGATAAATAAAACAACCGCTCCTTATAAAAAAAATAGAACACGTGGAAATAAAACCAAAAATAAAACCTTTAATTTAGAAGCGTTTAATACAGAAAGCCAGATAATTGATGACATTAAAAAAAATGAAATGCGTTCTCATATAAAAACTATTCGTAATGCACTTGACGAAAACATTTATAATGAATTAATTAAAAAATCAAGTGAAATTTTACATTAATACAATAATTTGAATGAAAGTGATGCAAAATTAGCTTCACAATATTCAACATTTAAAGAATTTATAGATTACAATCATGTATTTATAATGGAAGAAAAAGAAAAAGAGATCATACAAAAAAATGTTATTGATTTTCGATCAGAATTAAATAATCTTCAACAAACTCAATTCAATAACAACTTCAATACAATTACATCACAATATCAAAATAACGTTGGCTTTGATTGTTTAAATGATGATGATAAAAATCTTTTTATATTGAATGAAACAGTTATTTATTGCAACAATTCTAATTTTTTTACACAATAGTATTATCATTTTTTACAATACAATTTTTTATATAAATTTGACTTCTTGTCAATTGATAACAAAATTCAATGGCCGAAGAATTAACTAATTTATTTGATAATCTTCAAATTGAAAGAAATAGCAAATATGAAAATACAAACGTATATTGCGAGCAGATTAATACTATCTCTAACACTTACGATCATTTATTACTAAATTTGATTAAAATTTTAATAGCAGATAACACAATGAAAATTAATATTTATGATAGAGTAATAATTATAAACAATGTTTTGTTTTGCATAAATCTTAATCAAAATAATCAAATTGAAGATTATATTCCATATAAACCTTTAATGCGATTACCGGCATATAATAATAAATTATCATTTGTTTCTAAAAATGACCCAACTTGGTGGGATGAATGTTGTACTGAATTTGAAAATTCTATGTTACATCTTAAAAATTTAACTAATAATACTACAACATTCAATATTAAATCAATGATTGACCAAAAAAATTATATAGAAATTGAAATTATCAATTTAACCATTAAAATTATGAATAAAGAAAAAATAAGTGAATTTAGTTTAGTTCAAATGTACATTTTATCATTATACTTAGAAAATTTTTTTATAGAATATAAATTAGAATCAATTTATAGCGAAGAATTTTTATATACAAATAAATACTTTACTTTCTATAGCCAATTAGTAATAAACTATTTAAAGAAAAGTGATCTGTTTTATTCTTATAATGAGAATTTTTATTTAAGATTCATTAACCCATCACTATTATATTTATTATACAGCGTTAAAAATACATTAATTCTTTTTAGACCTTATGGGTATGATGCATTATGTGATAATTCGGATATTATAGATTTAAACATACATGAAATAATTTCATTCAAAAAAGAAGGATTAAAATACTTTGCATTAAATAATTTAATTGAATTAAAATTAAATAATAAAAAATTACATATCATTAATTCTGACGAATATGCTAATGTAATTTGCAATGATGCTTATATATTGAATTAGTTTTAGTATTAAAGTATTAGTATATCACTTTACTACATATCGGCGGATTTGTTTCATCACCTAAATATGCTGAATTTTTGCATTATGTAAGCACAGCAAAGTTAAGGATGCATTGCACGATATCCATAAAGATGTGTGATTAAAAAAAATCAATTTTGATACGATTTTAATTTTGGCCGGAATTAACATAATTTTGGCCAGATTTATGATATGTAGATCAGTGTAACATCATATGATAACGCTAAGCCACTCCAATAAAATGTTTTTTTACTTTCGCTTCTTTTTAATTTAATTTCTAATTTTAAAAAGTACACAATTAGTATACGAGTCTCAAGTTAAAACTAAAAAATTGATTTTTAAATTATAAATTTAATCTATTACAGTATTTATATTAATACTTTAAATTTAAGTATAATAAGAAACATAAAACATTTTGAACGCTCAACACTTGTGACAAAAAAATAGTGAAATATAAAGATAACCACCCAAACTCTTTTCAAAAATTCACTTTCAAGATATCTTTACAATAAGTCTTCTCAAATGAACCTATATAAGCAAAAAGGGAGAATTTAGAACAATATTATTTAAAAAACTTCTTAGATCTAAAAGGTAAAAAGAAAAAAAAAAAAGAAATAGAAAACTAGCCAAAAGAATAAAAAAAAACTCCAGCACTAAATATTCATACAACTCACAGACTGACATACCTTAAGTCGGATAGGTTGTAACTATGTCGGATGGGTTAAAACACGGTTTTTTTTAAAAATATTTTTTTTTTTAACGTTGGCAAGTTCAAAAAAAATTTTTTTTCAATTGATCTACAACTCACCTGATGTGAAATCTTGTGTTTGCTGATCAGTTTAGTATTACGCAAAAGGACTAATAAGGCAATAAAGCAATTTTATCCCGTGAATCAAATCCGCCCATATGAGCAAAGTGATATATATGAAATTTATTATAGTTACAAAAGAGCACGATTGATTAGATAAATTAAAATTTTAGTTTGAACTAAAAATATATTTGAGTTGTATTTTTCTTATTACTTTATGTTTAAGACTATTGCAATAATAAATCGTTTTGCTTATTAGATTATCATAAATATCAAAAAATACTTGTTGTTATTATAGTACATGTGTATTTTCAGCAGAATTTATTTGGAAAAGTATTCGTTATTGAGGCGTCATACATTGTTGCCGTAATTTTTTGTATGGAAATGCAATTATGTGCGACGATAATTGTACATGCTATTCGCAATATTGTTGAATAAACGTATAAATGGAACACACTGACACATTATGGAAAAATTCAATAAAATGAATCAAAAATTTATCAAGGTTTTATTATTCGTTTTATAACCCATTTTTATAATGCCTTAAGAATTTTCAATTATTTCCGTTGTGACGTATTCCATGGTGATCATGAGACAATTGACAAATATTGTTCTTTAACAATACAAAAAAAAAAAAAAAATACAATACAATACAAATAAATAACTTAGTGTTTCATTAGTATAAAAAAAATGCTCAATGCACAAAAACAATAATTATTAAGTTAAGTCTTAATACAATATGAATTTAATAACATATATCAAATTTAAACTTAATTCAATATGTCGGGATATTAATTTATTATATATTATGTATTGTTTATTAATTTTAATTGTTTTGAGTTTGTAATTATAATACGATAATAGTATAAATGTATTATTATGATTTGATACAAATTAAAAATATTTAAGTAAATTTTTATTATTAGATTTATCAAAAAATATGTTCAATAGAATATCTGTCAACTCGTACATTGATAATAAATGTAATAGAAAAAAATATTTATTGATTTTCACACAAAAATAAATTGAAATACTGCACTATCTTTGCTTCAATTTTATAATTGTTATTGATTGAATATTTGTTATTATGCAATTTAATTTTTTAAATTATCGTTGCCTCAATTAAAGCTCCGAACGGTTCGGGCTAAACCGGGGAACTGATCCGAAACCGGCTCAAAATTCGGTTCGGTTTGGTTCAGGTATTAGAACCGAAAAACCGGCGGTTCGGTTCGGTTTAATCTGATTTTTTATAAAAATGCGAAAATCGAATAGCCGGCCATCTAGTGATCGTACAAAGTCGAGCCATATATCATTGGATTCCTCTCGACGAGACGCGGCGAATGGTGGTAAGATCATGTCTCTAGCATCGATAGAGCACACGTTAACCCACGCTAAATGATTTATCAATAATTGGAATTAGCAAGCTATCTATCGGTGCTAGAGACATGATCTTAGCACCATTCGACGCGTCTCAGTGAGACGAATCCAATGAATATAAATTCGTTCGTGTA